CGAGGGGGCCACCACTCTCATTTCAGGCGTACACAAGATTACGGGATTACTGGATATTTACCAGGGATTACGCGTGAAATTTTCGAAAATTGGTTCGAAAACGTTGAAAAATAGCTTGAAAACGTTGGAAAATGACTCAAAAACGTTGAAAAATGGCAGAATTTAGTCAAGGATTACGTGATTACGCCATGGATTACCAGAGATTACCAGCAAACTTGTACACAGGATTACGGGGGTGGCGGCCCCCTCGGTACAGCCGCGACGCAAGTGTGCAGTGGTGGTCAAGTAGACCCGGCGCCACGGCGCGCCGGCCGGATGGGCGGATAGGAGAGGAAAACTCTCCTTATGTGAGATAAGATCCGAGATAGGCCGCGGCTCTGCAGGCTGCTTCCGAGCAGAGCTGGTCTCTCTCCCACCCACATGGGACGCTCTGCGAGTGCGAGAGAGACCTCCCGCACGCAACCAGCCTGCCTCCTCCCTCAAGGCGCGGGCAGGGTCCTGGGGCAGGGAGGGGATCCTCAGCCGCCCGCCAGGCAGGCAACCCATTCGACGCGGCGCGGACCGTGCGGCTGTTCGGTGGGTTGCCTGCCTGCCTGCCTGGCGGCTGTTCGATGGGTTGCCTGCCTGGCGGCAGTTCGATGGGTTGCCTGCCTGGCGGGCGGCTGCGAACTGCGTTTATAAGCTAAGCATCTTGCCAGGTGAGCATAAGCGCGCATTAGCGAGTCGTTGGTGAGAACGGTCACTAAGATGATGCCTTCCGCGTAGCCGCGTCTCCGCGTGGCGTTGGCCCCAACGCCGACCACACCGACACGTGCGTGTGCAAATGCGCGCGCTAGACAATGGCCAGGCGTGACGCACCGACCGTATTTTCCATCCGAGAAACGAAACGCGCAATTTTGTCGGCGGGATCATCTTTCCCACGAGGTTGGCGTCGGAGCGGCCGAGTTCCGCGTTCAGTCCAAATTAGGCGTCGTCGCCTGGACCAGCCCGACCGACCGCCAGCGCCAGCCCCGCCTGCCCCGCCTGCCCGGGCGGCGTTATTACGATGTCTGGGGCCATCTCGCCCAGTCGACTGCATCTCCTGCCTCGCTGCGGAGGACGCAATCATCGCCATGACCCCTGCTTGCTGCTCATGCAGTACGTGGCGGCGGCATGGCGGCCTCTGGGCCCAGGGCCGAGCCGAGCAGCACGCCGATGACGCCCACTGACGACCGGACTGCGATGCTGCTTCCGGAAACGCCGAGCAAGGGGCGGGGCGGTGGCCGGGCTGGGCAAGGGCCTCAAGGACCGGTGGAGGGAGGGCACTCCCTTCAACCCATCATCGCTATCATGAAGCAGTGGCGCCAAGAAGCAGTGGCGGCTGGCGGCGACCCAGCGGCCCAGGCCCAGGCCTGTGGTGTGACGGTCGGCCCGGCTGGTCTGGCTTCCGATTCGCGTGTGCCCGCGTGCCCGTGCCGGGGAGCACTCCAAGCCGGCGGGCGCGCCAGGCCGGTAGTGTGGCCGGCCTGGCGTGAGTCCGGTGCGCTGTCTTCGTCTTCATTGTCCGGGTGGCGATGAGGCGGCGGCCGGGAGGCGGCAGGCCCGCGCGGCCCTGAGAGGTCATGCACATGGCCCAACGCTCCAACGCTCACGTCGCGAGCCCCTCCGCGCTCCGGCCGGATACGTCGCGCGCCGCCTTTCCCACGCCGCCTGGCCGCCTGGCCGCCTGGCTGGCGATGCCTGCTAGTTGAACGAGACACTTCCTAATGGCGCCCGGCTGCGCTAAGCTGCGCCGCCCGGCCCTGCAGAATGGCTAATTCTCGGCACGGGACGCGCAGTGCCGCGGACTGCCGGCCCGGGGTGCTGACCCCCGTGTGTCGTGTCCCTGGGACCCTGGAGCCTCCAGGCAGGAGGCGCGGGCCGCGGGGCCGCGGGAGTTGGCTGTCGAGTCATTTTCACAGTTTATGCGGCCGGACTGTCCGGCAGAGCGTCTGCACTGAAAATGTATCGGCGCCACTTCGTGCCGACTTCGTGACAGAAAATGTCTTCAGAAGTCACGCTAATCTTTCGGCGCGGCTTATCAGACACGCCCACGCTGGTTTTTGGCATGACTTTCCCCGAAAAACGCCTTGAAAGCCACCTGTCATGCCGTACTTCGGAGTGACTTTCCCATCACGCTGGTTTTCGGTGTGACTCTTTTTCATGCCATCATTTGGCCAGTCAAATGCCAAATGCAGGCCCGCGGCCAAACCGGGACCGAAAGGCAGAAAATGACATTCCCAGTGAGAGGGCAAACTTCCACTATGGAACTTGTAGCCCCTAGGAGGTACAGTACACGTTCATCCTGGGGAGCTGCGGTTGGTGCCTTGGGTAAGGGGTTAACCCGATCTACTCCACGCCGAAAAAAGTCATTTCTTGAACCAAGACAATTTACTTAAAACATGTGCATTTAAGTAATTAAGCAAAGTGAAAGTCCTTGGTGCAGACAACCCGAGGAGATAAACTCGCGGAAACTCTGCGGCCTTTATCAGGCTGAGGTGAATCCTACGACCGTGGTTAGGCAGGGCGGGGCGGGGCGGGGCGGGGCGGGGCGTGCAGGGAGCGGGCGTCTGGACCTGGGCAAGTGGGGGTGGGGGGCGGTGGGGCGGCTGGCGGGACGGGCGTCGCGAGCGTTTGAGGCAGGCCGCCGTCGCGAGGTTGCCCAGGCCCCGCCGCCCCGCCGGGCTTCGCGCTTCGCCAGGCCGGCCGGGGCCCAGGCCCAGAGTGGCATCAGGTGCGAGAAGTGGCAGGCGGCACGGCAGGCCGGCAGGCGAGTAGAGGCGTTGGACCAGGACGGAGCGCGGACTGCGGAGCTGCGGAGCGGCACAGGGACCAGTGTGGAGCGGCACCTCGCGGCGGCAGGACTGCCAGGACTGCCAGGACTGCCAGGACTGCCAGGACCCGACCTCGCGCCTTCCACCCTGCAGCAGGTGACTTGCATCGCTTCCCGAAAGCACCCACGAGGCTCTACGGCTCGTACAAGCCTCCCCTCGGCGAGGGCGGCCCGCCAGTGCCCGCCAGTGCCCGCCAGTGCCCGCCAGTGCCCGCCAGCACAGCGCGCCCATTTCGCGTGGGCCGCTTTGTGTGGCGACGTCGGCGACGTCGAACGTGCCACTGTCGCTATCGAAAGCGGCCGGCCGCGGTGCCGCGGCAGTGTAGGGGCACTAGTGAGTGGTTGCCCGGCGGCTGGCGGCCTGAGAAGGGAGGCGCCAGCCCCGCAGGCCGCACCGCCGCACCGGCGCACCGCACCGCGGCCCCCGGTTCGCGGCGGCCCGTCTGCTCGGCGGCCCTTCCTCAGGTAAGCCTGGCTAAGCCACGCGGCTTTGCCTAGGCCGTTCTGCCCAGGCCGTTCTGCCCGGGCCCCAACCGACTTACCCCCGTTTCCGTGCGGCCTTCGGGATCGATTGCCCATTGTCACTGCAGTGGCGTGGACAGTGCAGCGCAGTGCGGAGTGCGCCTCGGCCTCCGCCCAGTGCGTCCGTCCGTGTGCATTGTACGTTGTTCGGTGCTGTGCTCCGCGCCTGCGCGTCTTCGCATCCGTGTCTCGGCCCGCGAGGCTCGAGGCGGCGCTGACGAGTCGCGCCGTGGAGACAGACCAGTTCGTGACGTCGGCGCGGGACCCGACTTGGGACTCCGGGACGCGTGCAGGCGTCATGGAGGACGCCGTCAGTCGGCCGCGAGCGCGGAGCGCAGCGCGCAGCCGCCGTAAACGCTTCATTTCGTTTTAGCTCGTTTCGCTTCCTTTCGCAGGCGGAGGGAATGTGTTTGCGGCCCCTTTGACGGGCATCCAGCGCCCCTCGGCCAGTGGAGTGGAAAGTTTGAACGAGACCCAGACAGTCACGCGGGCGTTGCCTGGGCGTTGCCCCAGCGGCTTGCGAGGACGAGGGCCAGGACGAGGCGAGGCGAGGCACCCGCAGAAATACAAATCCACCCGCCCAGCCCGCCCAGCCGCCAACACAACGGCAGCACCTCATTAGCCATGCCAGTGTTTGTTTCCGCGGCCGGCTCATGCCAGCACCGCGTCCCGCTTAGCGTCCCGTCGCTCTGCCTCACTCGCACCTGCGCGCGACCATGCAGAGCGGCCCGCGAGTACGAGAGAAACAGAGCAATGGCAGCGACTTTTGTGGCGCTTCAGTCTGCCTGAGAGACTGAGGCACAGAGGGCCCCTCGCGGATATCCAATCGCCGGGGAACCCCCGGGGCCTCGCCGAGGGAAGTCCAGCCGATTCTCGCGGCTCTCTGTCTGTCTCGCCCGCGACTTGGACTCAATTTGCATTCCCGCGTCCGGCTGGATCCTCTGCCGGCCGAATGAGCGGGAAACGTTCCGGATTTTAAAGTTGTTCACGCGTGAATTGAGAAAAAGCCACGACAAGTCAGAAAATTTCTCGCTCTACCCATAGCCGGGAACCTCCTCAACACGCTGGGCTTTCGGAAGTTAGCCGTGAAGTTCGCTGCAGAGATATTTGACTTCGAAAATGGGGTCTTTTAACATTGGCCCTTATCTCCTGACAGTTAGTCAATTTGTCGTCATTGTGTGATACAAAAGTCATGGCCCACTTCAAACATCGGCCTAATGTATTCTTCGTTCTTTTCTGGTCGACACCCCCGGTAAGAGTTAGCTATCTACGGCTTCTGAATTGGCCTCGCACAGATAGCAGACTCTTGCTGGGGGCATCGTGTGTGTTTTGAGTTGAGGCCCTCTCACATTCCCCCGTGGCCCGGGCGCCGGTCGGAGGGGGCGCTGGTGGCGCGGCGCTTGGGTGCTCGTCTCGCCTAGTCCCGCCAGTCTCCACGGTGAAGGTTCCCTTCCCGCTCGGCCGTTTCGTCAGTGGCGCCCGTTCGGCAGTGTTCGGCAGTGTTCAGTTCAGCCCTCCATATGTGGCACGGCCCGTCGACGGGAGGTGGCCGTGGGCCACGTGGCGCAAGGCGGGCCGGGCGGGCAGGGCGGGCCAGGTGCAAATTTTTAATACAGTCACCTCCCCTCCTCCGACCAAAACACGAGACACGCCGACACCACGCCGCATCTACTCGCTCCTTTATGGCTGCACTCGGATTGGCCCATGCACGGCCCGGACGGCCCGCGAGAACCGCTTTCACCCGCTTCGGAGTGGCACAGTGCACTGCAGTGAGCGGGCGGGGCTCGCCGGGCCGGTCGGGTATTCGGTTAGTCATCCGCCACTGCGGGCACTTGCACTCGCGCTGCACTCCCGAGGCCCCAGGCCCGCGACCGCCCGCGACCCGCCGGGGGGGGGGAGTGCACTGGAAGTGGAATCGCTGTAGCGATGCGTGAGGTCGAGATCAGCTTGCCTACCCAAGGACACAGCACCGAGCCCAGTCCTGCGGGTACGTGTCGGGCAGTGGCGGATCCAGAAGCGGCCGGGGGAGGGGGACATGTCCACTTCCAGGGACAGTGTATGGCTTTTTGCCGTCCATACAGCGGACACGGGGCTCCTGCGGCTCGGCGTTGCATTTGAGAATTCTATAGTCTCCATTCAATAAGTCTACATTTGTTTCTGCCAAACATTTCTATTTCTAGTAAACTGGGTTTGTCAACTGACGGGGAGGTAGATCAACTGACCCAGCCTGGCGCCGCCGCCCCCGCAAGGCATGCCAGGTTCTGCGGCTTATTATTGCTTCTGTCACTTCTGTCTTTGCTCCGCAGATGCGCCATGGCCCCGGTGCTGCTGCTGCCGCTGCTGCTGCAGCTGCTGTTCGGGCGCAGCTTGGCGGCGTACCGGCCCAACATCGTCGTCATCGTCGGTGACGACCTGGTGAGTGCCGCGTGCACCGCATGAACCGAGTCGTGTCGCCCGGAAAACAACCGTTGAGTGGAAAACGCCGCACACGCCAGCACTCGGCGGCTCGCTGTGCACTGTACGGCTAAATTTGTCACGACGGGTGTCCGAGACGTGACAAAGCGAGTCTCGAGTGAAGAAAAAAAAAGTCGAAATGTAGTGTTGTGTTGGTTGTCTCTGCTAATCGTCGCTGGGCGCGGTTTTTTATTGGAGGGACTTCCCCCGCGGACGTCACGTTTATTCGCGCATGAACCCAAAGGGCGCTCCGTTCCATTTGGCGCTAATAGCAATCAAGTATGCAAAACAAGCACAAAAACTGACCAAAAAGAAAACATTGTGACCTCTGCTACAGGGATGGAACGACTTGAGCTTCCATGGCTCCGACGAGATCCCCACCCCCAACATCGACGCCCTGGCCTACAACGGCGCCATCCTGAACCAGCACTACGTGCAGCCCGTGTGCACCCCCAGCAGGGCCGCCCTGCTGACGGGCAGGTACCCCATCCACCTGGGTGAGTCCGCGCGTGCCGTCGGCGTGCCGTGCTGACGGTGCTTGCACCGGGTACCTCTTGACTCTCTTGACCTGATGCCCGTCGTTGCAGGGATGCAGGGGCCACCCATCCTGGCCGCCGAGCCGCGCGCGCTGCCGCTGGGCCACACGCTGCTGCCCGAGTACCTGCAGCAGCTGGGCTACGTGACGCACGGCATCGGCAAGTGGCACCTCGGCTACCACCGCAAGGAGTACCTGCCCACTAGGCGCGGCTTCGACACCTTCCTGGGCTACTACAACGGCGCGCTCAGCTACTACGACCACATCCTGGAGACCACGGTAGGCGTCCGCTGCGTGCGCGGTGGTGGCTTTGAGGGTGTGCGGGTTCGAGGAGGCGGCCCCTGACCGGCCTCGGCCTTGGCCTCGCCCTTTGCAGTACCCGGACTACGGCTACATGGCGGGCCACGACATGCGGCGCAACGAGAGCACCGCCTGGGACCTGCAAGGCAAGTACGCCACGGACGTGTTCACCGACGAGGCCAACGACATCATCCGCGCGCACGACCAGCGCCTGCCGCTCTTCATGTACGTGGCGCACCTGGGCGTCCACGCCGGCAACGCGGGCAAGCTGCTCGAGGCCCCGCAGGAGGAGATCGACAAGTTCAGGCACATCGCCGACCCCAACCGGAGGACCTACGCGGGTGAGTAGCGCGGCGACGCTGCACTGGCTGGACGCTGCGAGGGCCCCTGCCAGACAGAGGGTAGGCCGCCCATCGCACGCGGCGGCGCGGCGGCGCGGCGGCGCGCTAGGCTGACGACCTCTCTCTCTTTCTCCTGCCCGCCCGTTGCAGCCATGGTGTCCAAGCTGGACCAGTCCGTCGGCAGCATCGTGGCTACACTGCAGTCGCGCAACATGCTCGAGAGCTCCATCATCCTGTTCATGTCGGACAACGGCGCACCCACCATCGGCGACCCTTACCCCAACTGGGGCTCCAACGCGCCGCACCGCGGGGTGAGTCTTGCTGCCAGCCACTGTAAGCCACTGGCGTCGAGTCCCGGTGCACGCAGGCCTGACCCCCGCTCTGCCCGCTCTGCCCGCAGCTCAAGGACACGCTCTGGGAGGGCGGCGTGAAGGGCGCGGCGCTCATTTGGAGTCCGCTGCTCAACCGGCGGCCGCGCGTCTCCTTCGACATGATCCACATCACGGACTGGCTGCCCACGCTGTACAGCGCGGCCGGCGGCCGGCCATACGACCTGCCGCCCGACCTGGACGGCGTGGACCAGTGGACGTCCCTCGCCAACGACCTGCCCTCGCGCCGCTCCGAGATCCTCCTCAACATCGACGAGCGCATCAAGACGGCCGCCCTGCGCCAGAACAACTGGAAGCTCGTCGTCGGTATGGCCCTGCCCGTCCGTCTGTGTGTCTGTCTGTCTGGTTCGGCTGGGAGCTGCCGGAAGCCTGCCACGCAAAGTGGCCCGGACTCCCTTCGCTGCGCGCCGCGCGCACACACTGCTAATTCGTATTCAATCTCGTTTTCCCGGGTGCTGGCCGCGGGCACTGCATGCGCCTCGCGCCTCGCCTCGCCGAGCTGGGCGCCGCGGAACTCATTTGTCGGGAGTAAACAATACACACTAGCCTACACTACACTAGCCGCAACAGTTTGCCTGCCGCGGCCGCTGCCCCGACCGCGGAAGGGAAGGCTGGGGGATGCGCCGCGCGGCGTGGCGGCGTGGCGGCGTGGCGGCGCGCGGTGCTGCGGTGCGGCCTCGCGGCGGCCTTGCCCGCCACGCCGCGCGCTTCCCACGCACGGCCAAGTAGTGCCAAGTCGTGACGCGTGCGGATCATTAGGGCCTGCAGACTGATTCGCTCTGTCTCTCCCACATGCTGCCCGTGCTAATGCCCCTCTGCTTCTGCTGCCCCGACAGGGTCCAGCCAGGGCGGCAAGTTCGACGAGTACTTCGGGTCGAGCGGCTCGGCCTCGGACCCGCCCTTCAACTTCTCGTCCGTGCTGACCAGCCCGGCGGGGCGCTCCCTGACGTCGCACGCCGCGCGGTCGGGCTGGCCCGTCATCGGCGAGTACGCCATGGTGGCGCTGCGCGCGCGCGCCACGGTGCGCTGCGGGCCCAACTACGTGTCCGCGACCTGCGACCCCGCCGCCTCCGCCAACAAGCACTGCCTGTACGACGTGCAGAACGACCCCTGCGAGCGCAACAACCTGGCCGACGTCTACCCGACCGTGGCGCGCGCCCTCAAGCGCACGCTGGTGCGGTACCGCGCCGGCCTGGTGCCGCAGCCCCCCGCGTTGCAGCAGCCCTCGCTGGCCGACCCGAAGCGCTTCGGCGGCGCCTGGTCGCCCTGGGCCGACGACCTGCAGAGCAGCAACCTGCAGGCCGACAGCTCCACCGCGCCCACGGACGGCCCCATCGGCTCCGGGCCCAGCGCCAGCGTCGGCCCCAGCGCCAGCGCCGGCCCCAGCACCACACCCTCGGGCAACAAGCCCGCGCCCGCCACGGCCCCCAAGCCCTCAAAGCCCAGCACCAAGCCCAACAAGGCCACCACCGAGGCCAACAAGCCCAAGAGCACCGCCGACCCGCTGGAGGAAGCGCCACCGGCCACGGAGGACGATAAGGACGACAACGAAGACATGATCCTGTACTGACACGGGCTGCACGGGCCAGGCCGAGGCCCAGGCGCGCGTCCAAGCTGAAACCGTACTGGTCATCGGGGATAGGTCGAAAGCGAGACCGCAACTCTACTAACTGACTAACTACTCGTTCCGTCCCTGAACCACCTCTTCCGGTTGCAGAGCCAAATAAGATGTAGGAAAAACGGAAAGCAATCAAAATAAAAACCATTGTTTTTAAAATAAAAAAAAAATAGAGAATGCTCGTCTGTAACCGGAAATCTTCGGAAAGAAATCATATTTGTTTTCCCTAAACAACCTGCTTGCACTGAATCCCTACTTTGTCTGTGATAAAAATGTTCTAAATGTAGCTTCGCCCTGTGCGAATTAGTTATTAAGATGAAGAGGACTGCTTCCCGTGAGTGGCGCGTCCCCTGTGTGTAGTTCTTCCTTATTCTGTTTTTCTTTCCCAATTCAGCAGTAACGATTTCACTGCCAATGTAACGCGTCACCGGGCCCTTTCGTGCCCAAGAAACTGAGACTTCCGGTGAACTCCGATTGCCTTCATCATGTGCATGTGTGGGCATCGGCGTTGTTGTCGAAAACAACCTGCCAACCACCAAAATTGTTATTTATTTTACTTTTGCCTAGCGTTTGTCCTCAGAGTAGTGACTCCCCCGAATGTAATGAACCTGTACAAACCCCCCGAGTTATTCCAAAGTAGCACCTCAATAAACCGAGTTCGAAAATCATTTTCCATGTGTGCCATTGATCCCACTTGCGCCCCCTTCACGACACAGCACCATATCGATTGGTTGTGAATGCGTCGCCTTGAACATCGCCGTCGGTCAGCTTGCCGCTGGCGGGAACGCCCGCGCGGTAGGCCACCCAAGCGGCACGGCTCGGCGCGGGGCCCCGCGCGGGCAGGCAACCCAGCGCACACCGCGGTGCTGCAGCCCGGGCAGTAGGCAGCCCATCGTGCAGCGCCTTCGCTGCCATGAGGGAGATGCTCTGAGCCACTGAGATGCAGAGAGAACTGATGGCGACGAAGAGAGAGGGGAGAAGGGGAGTGTGAGTGTTTTTCGGGAAAGGACTGCGCCACGCGTCTGTGGGCATGTAAGGCCCCCGCCTGCACACACACGCAGTCAGAAACAGAGACACGCCACGCCGTGCCCTGCCTGCACTGCATGCGCCGTTGGACAAATGGGCCTCCGCGGTGGAGTCCGTCCGCGAGTCCGCGTCCTCGGCGTGAAGCTCGGCTAGATTCGTCCCTTTGCAGTGTTGTGACAGGGAGGGCAGGGGGAATGCTCGCGGCGCCGGCGCCGTGCCAGGCCGACGCCGCGCGAGCCTCTGCAGCCTCTGCCTGGTCGAACCCCGACTCCGAAACGAGGCTGTCCTGCTGTCCCACATCCGCGACGCGACGGGGGCGGGCAAAAACCGCGAGCGGCAGCCGCGGCCCGGGAGGGGGGGAGGGGGCCCTAATTATCGCCAGGACAAAACACGCGACCAATAATCCCCCTCCTTCCTCTCTCCGCGCGCCGCCAGCCGCGCGGGGTCCTTGTTTGCACCGGGGCGGCGTTGCGGCGTCGAGGCGTCGAGGAGGCACCGCGACGCCGAGGCCTGGATCGCTTTATTTGGCGATGCGGTGGAGGTCGTGGAGGCCGCGGAGGCCGTGAGCGTGTCCTCGGCCGGCTCAAACTTCCGGGGAGGGGCGGGTCGCGCACACACCTGCCCTGCCGCGCCTCACCTGTCCAGTCAGTCGAGGCCCTCCGAGGCCCTCCGAACGGCCCCGAGGCCTGGCGCGCGTCACCAGCGTCGCCGTTCCCCGGAGTAGATCATCTGTACGACCTCTTTTTGTCCGACCTGCTGAAATTCGTCCGACCTGCTTCCCGCTGTTACATTTTTGTACGACCTCTACTCGCGGTGTGCACCGCACCGCCGAACCACCGCCAAACCGTTCCAAAAGACCCCCCTCCCCTCCGCGGCCACCCTCTAGCTTCCGATTCTGATTCCGTGTCGATGCGGCGATGCTAAGATGCCATTGCCCGCGGCGAACGGGAGGCTGTGGCAACCGTAATGCGGCAAGAAGTCCCTTGCTGCTGGAAAAAGCGGAAAAACCGGCGGGGAACACAAGCCCTATCGCCGCGGCGTGAGCAACGAGCATCGAGCCGCCCCCAACTGGAGTCTCGGCGACCGGCCACGCGCTGCCTGCCTGGCTGCCTGCGAGTCGCGGGTTCGAGTCCCCGTTAGGGCTGCACTTTTCACGAAGCCTGCCGGCCGAGTCGACCGGTAGCGTCCCACTGCACGTGCCGGCCAGGCAAGAGTCCACTCTGTCCCTTGTTGCGCGAGAGAGACAGAGCGACGAAGCAGGTACCCGGTGTTCCCGGTCCCGGTAGGTAGTACCAGCCTCGTGACTGTGCCCCTGTGACTCCGAGTCGAATGGCTGCCGCTGCTCGCTGCCCAGGCCGGTCGCGTGGAGCCATGGAACGATGGAACGTGGTGGCGGGCTGCCCCGAGCGCCAGCCGAGCGTGGTGTTTGGAAACGAAAGCAGCCTGCTCCAGACGCTCTCCGCGCTCGCCACGCTCCAGAAGCACGGCATCCCCGGCGCGGTCATGAACGCCGCGAACGGCATGGCCGGCACGGCACGGCCGGCATGGCGGGGGCGAGATAGGACACGTGATCACGTGCCTCGGACGGCTGGCTGGACACGGCGACGCCGGTTTGGTTTCCGGAGCATTCTCAAGGACGTCCTCCAGCGGGGCCGCCCCGCCGACGCGCTCATCGGCGGCCCTTCGCTGAATTTTCACCTCGGTGTGTACGAGTCTGAGCGGGCTCCTGCACGAGGCGCCAAGCGCCGTCTCGCGGACAACAGCCCCCCCCCCCTCCCCTTCCCACCCGGGTCGCCGCCGAGCGCAGGACAGTTATGGAACCAATCGCAAGCGCCAGGCGAGGCGCGGAGGGACCCCGCGGGGGTGGAGGGCTAGCGAGCGCGACCAGGCGCGGGTTTGGCCCTTGGCACTGCAGCACTGCCCGAGGCTGAGGCGCGCCGAGGCTCACGATGCCGGAAACCCGGAAACCTGGAAAGCAACCCCATCGATACAGCACCGCTTTCTACGTCCCGGCCAGCCAGCCCGCACCTCGCGGGGTCGTCGGCGTCGTGTTTTGCCGCCGATGCAGAGCACCTTTTTCTTTTTCCCGGTTCGGTAGCGGATGCCGCGGCCGCGCGGGTCAGTGGCGGGACGAGGACGGGTCCACCCACGCACACCGCGCAGCTTGGAGGCGCGAGTGGGTGCGGCCCTGGTGCGGCCGGCGAGCGGACGTGCGCGCGGCGGGGGGTGGCGGTGGCGGCGGGGTGGCGGTGGCGCCGTGTCGCCGTGTCCGTCACAGCGCGACAAAGACGTCGTCCGTGTGCACAACGACGTCCTTTATCCGCCCGCATTGTCCGGGCCTATCATTTGGCCCGATTCAGGGCCTGGAGGGCTCGGCCTGCAGGCTCGGCCGCTGCTGCCCCAAAGCAGCGGAAGTACGCCTGCCTAGACAATGGCCATGCCGCAGGTGGCCGCTCGCTGCGCCGCGCTCGGCCCAATTTTCTATTTTCACTCTCCTCGGCTGCTTGGCTTGTTGGCGCGGTTATTTATTTGAGCCGCGGACTTTCTCGCCGGCGACCCCGCTCCCCGTTTCTCATATCGCGTCACGCCGAGGAGGGCGACGCATGACCCCGCGCCGCCCCGCGCCGACATGCAGTGCCGCAGCGGCATCAATCACCAATCATCGTCCCTGCCAATCAGCGCGGGCCTTGCCTGCCGTGCCTGCCTTGCCGCGGGTGGCGGCGCCCGGCCCGGCGCTCCGCCCGGAACCAGTCCGCAGAGTTCGCCGCGGCCGGGAGGGGAAAGGGGGTGGGGATACACACGCACGCCGTGTGCCGTGTGCCACACGCGGGGCGCCTCGACGGCGGAGGCCGCGTTCCGTTCCGTTCCGTTGTTGCGCCGCTGGGGTTCCAGCGTGTGTTCCAGCATGTGTTCCAGCGTGCTCCAGGAGGCAGAGGGAGCCCGCCGGCCCGGCCCTGCTTGTCATCGTTCTGCCCCGTCACCCGGTCGGCTCGGTCGCCAAAACCCCAAGTGCGTTCTGCGGAAAAGGCGCCGGCCGCGTCACCGCGTGTCGACACGGGGACCGCGACCACCTCGGCGACCTCACGGTGCGTCCGCGTTGGTCCGCGTGCGTGGGGAGGCGGTGGGGGCCCCGCCGGGTCCCCCCATGACGCGCGAGGCGCGGCGACGACCCTCGCAGGCTCGCAGTGCACACCGAGCCGTGCGCAGCGGGCGGCAGCGGGCCAACGGTGAGGGCGTGACGTGGCGTCGCCGTCAGCATCCCCGTCGAGGGTTCGGCCCCGGACTCGACTCCGGAGCATGCCGCCGGGCCGCGGTCACTTTTTGCCATTCATTATTATCATTAGCGTGCGCTGCCGACCGCTGCCTGCCTGGCCATGCCCGCCGCGGCGCCCGCCCCGAGGCACCACCGCGAAGGGGGAGGGGATGGCAGGGGGCAACAACTTGCACTCCTTCCCTTTCTCCGCGCCGGCCGGGAAGCGGGCGCGGCGGGCGAGCGGGTAACGCCGCCGTGGAGGATGTGGGAGGCTGGGAGGCCTGTGTGGGGGCAGTGCTGCCTGCCTGCCTGCCTGGCTGTGCCGCCTCTGGGACTTGAAAGTGGCGGTGCCGATTTCCTCGCCCTCCACCGCTGCAATTCGCATACAGTGACGAACACCGTGATAGCTGCGAAGCTGCGAAGCGCCGCCAATGGCCGGCCAGACGCCTCCGCGACCCCGTTGCTCCATAATCACACTCACACACACACACACACATACACTCACACAAAATCACACACACGCACACTCTCGGCGCCTCTCCCCGCGCCTCTCCCCGCGCCTCTCCCTGCGCCTCTCCGCACCGCCGAGAAGGTCATCGCCCGCTTCATTTCGGCTCGCGGCCGCGCCGTCTTCGCCGTCTCCGTGGCGAGGTGGCAAGGAATTCCAGCGCTGCGTTGACGGCGGCGCGGGAGCGCAGCAGAGTGCTCTTTCGTTCGTGCCGCGTCGTGTGAGCTTTCGTTTCTAAAACGCGGCATGACGTTTGGCGTCAGTTTACTACGTCCTTTCGCGCCATTTCGGCTCTGTTGTTGTTTTGCTCGTTCCAAGAAACTTTGACAGGGCTACGTAAGCGGCCGCGGGGGTCTGGGGGCTGGGCTGGGCACCGCCGGGGTCGGCCTCGCTATGCATGGACAGGTGACTCATCTCGAGAAGTGGGAGCGGGGGAAGTGCAGGGTGGGGGTGCCGCGCTGCTGCTGATGGTGGTGGTGGTGGCGGCGGTGGTGTGTAGAGTTGAGAGTGTAGTTGCGCTGCCGCCGCTGCCGCTCAGGAATTCGGTCGTGGTTGCCGAGGGCCCCGAGGGCTCGGCAAAGGGCGTATCGTATCGTGCTGAGGATCATCATAGAGGCACTGCCGCGCTGCCACGCTGCCCAGCGTCCAGGATGCTTTCCTCGCCGGTGTTGGCGTCGGCAAGTCAAGCTCCTTGGGCCCGGTGGCGGAGGCGTTTCGTAGTCCTCGAGGACAGCGTCGGTGTGACTGCGGGTAAGGCCCGGGCCGGGCGGCAGCCCTGGCAGCCCTGGCAGCCCTGGCACCACGACACCGTCAATTTTGTAATCAAGCGTAACCCCAGCCCGCCGCCCCGGCCCAGCCCGGAACGCAGCAACGCGGCGCGGGGCGGCGCGGGACCGCGGCCTCCACTGGTTTGGAGTTCCCCGTGCCCGTGCCCGTCCACTCGCACCGCGTTGACTCAGTGCCGTTGCCGCTCCCGGATCGATGGCTGTTGAACGGTTCGCTCTCAGGCACCCCAAGACCCCCTCGACGGTCGACCGAGCCGCCCCCGTTGCGTGCTCCTCTCCGCGGCGCTGGCGCAGGGCGCAGGCCTCGGCGCCAACTTGGGACCCCCGCCGTCAATCAAAGGGCGCGAGGGCGGCGGATCCGGGATTATGTGTCAGTCACGAGCACGGCGCGCCGCGGCGTCGCGAATGAGTCCTCGCGGTGCTCGGCCTGGAGCACGCCCAGCACGCCCAGCACGCCCTGCGCCGCGCCACCCCCGCGCTGTCGTCATGGCGACGCCGCGTTCGAACGGCGAGCAGCACATTTGTTTCGCTTTGGACGGCGCTCGGGCCAGGCGGCCAGGCGTTCTGACAGAGGGCCGCGTTGGCCAACTGGAGGGTGGAAAGCGATGCGCGGAGCAGCGCCGCGATAGAACGAGATCGCATGAAGGAGACGAGAGCGTGTTTTGTGAGGTGGGGAACGGGGAACGGTCTGCTGGCCGTGGCTGGAACGACGTGGAATGACCTGCTGGCATTGCTGCAGGCTGTTATGTGTGTCCGTCCATGCAGCGGCAGCGGCAGAGCGGCCGCTACGGCCCCTCCACAGGCCGGCACGGGCGAGTCTCAGCTCGCGCGCAAGAAGTAGTACATCAAATAGGAAAGCCTTCAAATTCCACACACAGAACTGCAGGAACTTGAGCGCGTCGCTTCGTTTCGTCATGATGGGCAACAACATTCCCCTCCCCGTCACCCGTCGTCCGGCCGCCCCGTGCTGGGTCTCGGCACACACACTCCAGCGTCCAGCCTCGTCCAGCCGTCCGGGTGCCTCTGCTGGAGGGCCCTCCTGGAGGGTCCGGCGTGTTGTCCAGAGGAGTCCATGGGGCTGGAGTGCTGGAGTGCGGAGCCTGAACCAGAGCATGCAGGCCGTGGGCTATGTGGGGCAACGCGAGCGGTCTCTAGGCCCGCCGACCTGGCGGACCTGGCGGACCTGGCAGGGCCGGCAGGCTTAGGCCCTGCAGAGCGTCGGCGAGAGGCCGGCCGGCCGGGCGGGAGGCGAGGCGAGGCGAGGCGCGGTGCGACGACGCTGCGCGACGCGGCGCGGCACGGCAGCAGACAGCACCGAGGCGGGGAGAGGGGGGCTTCGTTGTGGAGGAGGAGGTGGAGAAGAAGGGGGAGTAGAAGGCGAGCTCAGGCCGGCAGGTCGAGAAGGTAGACGGGCGGACCGCGGCAGGTAGCTCAGGCCGGCGGGGCGCGGCGGGGCGCGGCGGGGCGCGGCGGGGCGCGGCGGGGGCCGCGCGGAGGGGGAGGGGCCCAGGTTGTCGGCTTGGGCCGGTGCGCCTCGCCTCGCCTCGCCCGGTGTGGAGCCCGTCCCGCCCGGCCCAGCTCGCCGCTCGCCGTTTGCCGCCGCAGCCCCAGTCTGGTCCCGGCCGCTGGAGATGCAGGGAGCACAGGATCACCGCCGGCCACCGGTGATTCCAGCCCCATAACCGTGAACCGTGCTGCGCGCGCCGTAGTCAGTGTCCGCGTTAGTGCAGTGTGCGTGTGTGTGTGAGTGCGAGTGTTAGTGCCTAAGTGTTGTGATTGAGGGCATGGCGCCGTCCTCCGCGCTGGTCGTGCTCCTGGTGGCGAGCCTCTGGATACACTCCGCCCCAGCGCAGCAGACCCAGCCGCCCCAGCCGCTGGCCGCCGACAACAAAGGTTCGTCCAGTGCATCAATGCAGCCCGCAACGCAGCCCGCAATGCAGCGCCACGTCTCCAGGTGCAGGCCGTCGGCGCGCCGAAAGTCGGACGGCCCGACGGCCCGGCCCGGCCCGGCCTGCCCGGTGTGTCTGTGTCGCCGGCAAGGTCAAGCTGGCGTGGGGCTGCCGCCCTGCCGCCCTGCGGAAGACCAGACATTTGGCTTTGGTTTGCCGCCGAGGGCTGCCGACGAACTGACGGCCCGCCGCCCCGCCGCGCTCTTCGCTTTCGCCCGCTTTTGGCGCTTGTGCGTTTGGCAGTGTGGTGGCGTACGGCCGGTTCTGGCCGCCGTGGCCGCCGTTTCCGATGCCGCTGTCCTGCTTTCATCCCAGTCGGCCTGGCCTGGCCTCGCCTCCTCGCACTCCACACTCCGTGCCGGCCGCTCGCAGTCCGTCCAGCTGGCCTTGCCCTTTGCGCGTCTTGCCGGTCTTGCCTGTCTGCATGTCTTTCTCCCCGCCGTGCAAGCACACTGCAAGCTGCAAGCCGTGCACGCCAGGCCTGGGCAGCAACTCGGCCCTCGGCCTCCAGGGACTCGAGAGACTCCCAAGCGCGCCAGTGCACCACCGTGCCGGCCTGGCCGGCCAGCAGGCAGCCTCCATGCACAACCATGCACACACCTGCGGGCAGAGCAGGCCCAGCAGGCAAGCGAGAGCCTACAGTGTGCCAACTGGACCTTCTTCACCTTTTCCGCGCACAATGACAATCGCCAAGTCGGCAAGTCTCGGTGCCCGGCGACGCACGGCGACGCCGGGGGACGCACAGCGACGCACGGCGACGCACAGCGACGCGGTGCGGCGCCACAGGTAGACGCCCATAATTGAAGAGGTCGCCGTCGCCGCTTTCGTCACTCTGTCTCACTCGCACTCGCGGGGCGTGCCGGGCGTCCCGTGGGGGTGCGAGAGAGGCGGAGTGACGACGCCCGGCAGTTATTCACGGCACCGGTAAGCCCCCCGACAACGCACGCACGCCGCCCATTCAGCCGCAGGACAGCCCGTGCCGTCTCTCTCGCACCCCTCCGCCACGCCCCTTCAGTGCGAGAGAGACGGAGCCACGGCACTATCCTGGCCCCCGCAGCTTCCCGCAGCCTCCCGCAGCCTCCCCCGCGAAGCCGCGGCGACACTGTATACACAAGGAGCGGGCTCAGATAAGCCGCAGAGGGGGAGGCCGAGGAGGGGGAGGGGGGTGCGGGCGAGGGTGGCGACTTGAACGCGCGTCGGAGGATAGAGTGTGAGCACAGCGAGCGAGGGCCGACGAGACGAGGGCAAGGGTTGCCCAGGCCAGCAGCTCGTCCTGGTCTCTGCCATGTTGACTACAAAGGAGAACGGCCAGGGAAAAGGATCTATCATTTTATAAACATGGGTGGGTCATATGGGTGTGTGTCCGCGTGTCCTTGTGTGTGTGTGTTTTACCTTGAGACGGACTCCGCCATGTGTTGAAATCGATACACCATTGTCCCACATGGGCGGGCACGCACACACGCGCGCGGCCGCGACCTGGACTCGTCGCGGGCGAGACGAGGTTTGCTCCGCGTGCTCTAGTTGTTGTCCTGCTCGCGGCTCATTTGCTGTCGCGCTGTCGCATGGAAGGGCTGCCTGTCCACGCCTCGTCCCCCTCTTCTCCCGTGTAATTAAGCCAGACTGTGTGTGTGTCTCTCCGTGTGTGTGATGCACGGGAGAGCTGCTTTCAAGTGATCTGCGCTGATCTGTCTCGAAAGGACGCGAAGAAGGGGGAAAAAAGCAAAGTGTGTCGGGTCGCTGCTCTATGAGACGCAAGAAGTGGACGCCGTGAGGCTGCGCGCAGGTGTATGTGCGCGCGCGTGTGTGTGTGTGTGTGAGTGTGTGTGTGCGTGTGTGTGAGTTCGTGGAAGAGGGAGAGAGTGTGTGTGAGAGAGTGTGAATGTGTGAGTGTGCATCGAGGGCAAAGAGGGGGCGAGACACGCGCCCTGCTTATGACACAGGACTCATGTCACTCTGCCTCCTCATCCCGATTTCCTTGTGTCCTCCAGCATCCAACCCGGTGGCGCCCACTCCGTCGCCAGGTTGCCTCGTCCTCTCTGGGTGGGGCGAGGCAAGGACAATGCCCCACGCGGTGCCGGTGTGCCGGGGCCCCCGCCGCGCGGCCGGTCTGGTCGGGGAGGTGAAGGTGGCCGTCGCCGTCACCATTGTCCGATCATCTGCCGCCCAAAAAGGCCTTCTATCCTTCTATCCGTGTTTCCATGAGTCACCGCGCATTGTTGCGAAGACCCCCGGAGCCAGCCCTGCGCTGCCGGGCCGTGCGGCGCGGTCCGGCACGCCGCGGCCGAAGGCTAAACGAACCCCAAAATGTGTCGGGGATGTCCGGCACGCCGCGGACTTCCCCCTCCCGCAGAGCGCGCGAAGCGGCTTGGCGTGCCGGCCTGCCGCCGGCCTGCCGGACTTGCCAGATTCCTGGTTGGAGTTGTAGTGGAGTGGATCGTCGATGCGCCGCCGTGGCCCCGACGCCGCCCGGCGGCCAGCCCGCCCAGCCCGGCCGGCCCAGGCCGAGAGTCCCGTTGCGAAGAGCGAAGAAAGCGCCGCGACGCCGTGGCGACGCCCGCAGCCCGCCTCGCCGGATGCAAAGCAGGCAAAGCAGTGTGGTGTGCTCCATACGGCACCGCCGGCACCGGGGAGCGCGACTCGACGACGACGCCAAGATCACGGCCGCGGCGCGCTGCCCCGGCCGTGGCGGGTGTGACTCGCGGGACGCGTCCGAGTCGCCTCCACGACGACCGCCTCGTCGTTGACGACGTTGACGACGTTGACCGCTTCGCCCTTCGCCTCGGCTCGGGCCTCGGCTCGGGCCGCCACTTCCACTTAGGCCCGGCCGTCGGCCGGCAGACACGGCGGCAGATGGCGCTGGATTCCAAACCATCATGGCGAGGCAAAATAACGATTGGCTGACGGGCCCAACCCGGGGGGATAGACCAGCCGCCAGCCGGCGACTCTAAGCCCCGCCGACGGCAGGCCGGCCAGGCCGATGCCCCGATGCCTCCGCCTCCGGAAACACCGTCTCCCTCCTCGCTCCCGCTTTCGGACGCGGCCGGAGTCGCGTCGCGCACGATAATTGGCAACGGTCTGAGCGCGCGCCGCGTTTTGGCCGCGCTAGCCTCATGGCAGCCCCTCCTAGCCTCGCGCCGAGCCGACCGGCCGGCAGCGCTGATCCCGCCCGAGCACTGCTTTCGTCGCTCTGTCTCTCTCGCACTCATGGGGCGGTCCGTAGGGGTGCGAGAGAGACAGAGCGACGAAGCAGTGTTCGGAATCAGCTGGCAGTCTGCTGTTGCTTCGGGCTGCGCCAGGTTAGGCAACCCGCCTCTCTCGCACTCACGGAGCGTTCTGCTGGGGACTGGGGCGACGATGCACTGTTGGGAATCAGCCGGCTGGCCAACCCCGCAAGAAGGCCGCGACATAGTGGACCGACAAGGCGTTCTCTGTGTGCGCCGCGGGCGGGGCGGGGCGGGGCGCTGCAGGCCGGGCGGGTGGCGTCAAACACGGCACTCCCATATCGATCATGTTGTTGTCGCCGGCTGCGCCCGTTTCGACATGACGGTCTCGTCTCGTTGCGTGGGGGCGAGGGGGGAAAGGGGGGGGGGGCGACCGGGTGTGGCGCGGGTCGAGCGCCCGGGCGGACGGCCACTGCGGCCACAGACTGTCGCTCCGGCGCTGAAACGGCCGATTCGGTCCGCCCTGCCTTGCCCTGCCCTTCCCGCCGCGTCCCTGTCCCGCGCGCTGGCCGCGGCTCTAAGAGTGTGCCGGTCGCGATCGTGATCTACACCCCGACAGGCCTAAGCTACGACCCTCGGCGGGCGAGGCGTGCGTCGTGCGGCCGCGCGGCGCGGGGCGTGGCTAGGCGTACGGGACCCTACTCGCTTATCGTCATCGGGTGTCGGCGTGGCCGCGCCGTGGCCGCGCCGTGGCCGCGCGATCCCCGTTCGGCGCGCACTCGATCCGCCTCACGCCGAAAGTGAATCGGCCGGGGCGCGGGGCGGGGCAGTACAGTGGGGCCGTCGCCATGGACCGTCGCCGGGGTGCGCCGCGCCGCACGCCGAGAAAGCCCGAGCTGAGCCAAGCCAGCAGGTCCCCACGGCCGGGGCCGCGAGGCCGCGAGCAGCCCCCAGTGATCCTCGATACAGTGCTTCTGAGCTGGCTTTGACAGACACAATCGTGGGATCGCGGTATGACCCGACCCGGTACGTATTGTGATCATTGTGATCCCGGCACTGCGCAGCCGGGCGCCGCCGACTCGTGACGACCCAGTCCTCAGTCCTCGCCCTCAGTCTCGGCGACACTCATTTCGCGACCTCGCCAGTCAGGCACAGGCAGGCCGGGGAAGGGGAGGGAAGGCGGCCCGACCGCAAAATAATTTCAATGTTTCACTCAATCGCGCGCTGCCTGCCGACGCCGCGTGTGTCTTCGCCCTTTCCCCGTCTCCATTTATCGGCCTCTGCCTCATCATTGACCCTCAACATCACCATCATCATCATCATCATCAGCAGCAGCAGCAGCACTGTTGCCTCAGTAGACCTTTAGCGTTCGACTAAGCAGCTGCAGCAAGCATCATCTTCTAGTGTCGTGCGTTAGCTAAGTAACTCTGTGACTCACTTCGTTTATTTGTTGTTGTTGTTGTTGTTGTTGTTGTTGTTGTTGTTGTTTTGTCTCTTCCAACGTCTGCTTGCTGCTGGCTGCACTGCTTGTTCCGTGACGTTCCGTGACGCTGGCAGTGCCGGCTCACTGACGTCACACGAGACAGCTTGCACTGCAGCGACTGCAGCCCTCGCCGTGTTTTCTAGATAATTGCCTCTATGAGGGCAAGGCGGCACCGGGCTCCGCATCGCCGAGGTGCGGCTAGCAAACTGATTCCGAGAGTTTTCGTCGCCCTCCTGTCCCTCTCGCACCTATACGGGATGTCCCATGAGTGCGAGAGAGACAGAGCGACGGAAAGGGCCC